GCTTCGCCACCTGACCCAGGCGGTCCCATCACTCCGTGCGACACGCCGGTCACGTGTTAATTACCTCCGGCCGTTTGCTGACTGATGCTGACCTTATGGTGACTCGTATGCGTCCGCACCTTCGGTATTTTGATGGAAACGAGAGAGGGAGTATGCTGGAGGGTGGGAATGAGGATGATGCCCCTCGATGGAAGTGTCCGTGGGCCCCGGAGCTAATTCACCTAGAAGTCGCATAGATTAGGTCACCCCGGAGCTTCGGTGCGCGGAGATAAATCGCGGAATGGGTCCGAGTACGCCTCGAGGATGTTGGGAAGTCCGGAGCTAAATAGAAAAAGTCTTTTTAGAGCCCATAGAAGCCTAGAGGCGTGCGAGCGCTGTGTCGAATAAGCTCCGGGGCGCTTGTATGATGTGCTGAATCCGCGTTTTCGGGGGTCAGACGATCCTGAGGCTTATCAATGGACCGTCTGACCAGGCATGGGAAGGGAAGACAGCCGACTTAGGGAAGGCAATACCCTCCGGCAGGGTCAGGGTTGGTCGGCCGCGCCGCCATATGGAGCTCGGGTGTACCATCCACCTCTGGGAGGGTCATTGGAAGCTGGGAAACTGGATGTAGTGAAGACCAGGGGCAACGACTAGCAATGCGAGGTACCAATTGGGAACGGAGTGGTCTAGATGCAAGCGAAGGTTAACAGAACAGGGTGTCAACGAGAACGGACCCTCGTTGAGGATGGAGACTCAGCCATGGAGCATATGAGACCGGGTGAAACAACTGAGCCGTATGCTCTGGACTCAAAGAACTGTGTGGACACGGAGCATAACACGTGTAACAACCGCGATGCCTCGAGTGGCAAGCACATATGGAGCCTAGGTAAGTGGCACACTGCTAGGGTGGTATGACGGGGAAGACTGTCAAAGGTAAACGAGAAGGACCTATGAGTGAAGGAGAAAGGAGGGAGATAAAGAGCGAGGGCGAGGGGGAGAAAAGGCAGTGAACTGAATGACACAAGCTCGCCTCTAAGTGCGAGCATCTCTAGGCTACTTTCCGCTCAGTATATCCGTGTATCTAGCTTGAATCCAAAACTCTGGTAACAACTACTAGAACTGCTCTAGGCGACAGACACTGTATATAATGCACAAAGCGTTAAGAACGGTGAGTAAAGACAGTGGACCAGTCTAGCTGACCGTCCGTGTAGGAATGAAGCCCGTGTGTTTCAGTGGACCCGAGAGTCCCATCCAGAATCTTCGAGTGTACGATACGCAGCAAGATTCCTTTCTCAAGACTTAGGCAACCGCCGTACTAGGTCCTTGGGAGTGTAGTTCATTTCCCGGTGTCATCAACCTTCAGTTGGATCAGCGTGTGCGACACTTGTCCCCAACCCTATGAACACTACGTCAGTCATAGCCAGAGACAGTACGGAACCCGTCTCATAAACTCGTACTGTCCTCGACCGAACGTTGCCTAGTACAACCTAGCCTCTTGTGGGTGTTTTTCCCCCAGGTCCCGTCCATCTCTAGCTCTGCACGAGCCTCTCCGCCGTTAGCACCTTTCTGTAGGGTCCGTCTGAGCGAGCTCATCAGCGTGCATGTCCCTCCTACAAGAACAAGAGAGTTCTGCTTCAGAAGATTGATGCTCTCCCTACAGAAGGTGCAAAGTGGCACCGAGACATAGTAACACTTGGGGGGGATTTGTTTGATGAGAAGGGTGAGGTTATGAAGGAAGAGCTTGAGCTTTGGCATCAGGACCATGTGGAATGCATCCATGAGCTGTTCAGCAATCCTGCCTTCCGGGATAAACTTGCATATGAACCTGAGCATGTGTACCAGGACAAGGAAGGGAATATTAGGATCTATGATGAGATGTGGAAAGCAGACTGTTGGTGGCATATTCAAGTAATGTATTCTCATACTCTGTGGGTATCTGGCACTTATATTCATATTTGACCAGGAACGGTTACCCAAGGGTGCAACCATTGCACCAGTGATACTTTCCTCAGACAAGTTGTCTCAATTTCATGGTGATAAAGCTGCATGGCCTGTCTACCTCACTATTGGCAATATTGAGAAGGCTACCCATTGTCAGCTTCATCCCATGCTATGGTTCTCATTGGATATTTACCTGTGAGCAAACTTAGCTGTTTCACAGAGAAGGCCTGTGCTCTGGCAGGTTACCGCCTCCTCCATTACTGTATGCAGGAAACCCTTCACCCTCTGATACAAGCAGGGAAAGAGGGTGTAGAGATGCCTTGTCCTGATGGATGGGTGCACCGAGTTTTCCCCATCCTTGCAGCCTACGTTGCAGACCATCCAGAGCGGTGTCTTGTAGCATGCTGCAAAGAAAACCGCTGTCCCCAATGCTGTGTTCAATGGGAAGACTCTGGTGATCTTGTGAACAGTGTTTACAGGGACCCCGAAAGGACAGCAAGGATACTCAAGCACCATGCAACTGGCCGTTGTGTCCATGCCTTCAAGAAGGAAGGGCTCCGTGCTGTTGACAAGCCATTTTGAATTGGCCTACCTCATTCAGACATCCCTCACACCTGACCTTCTCCATCAACTCCACAAGGGTCTTTTCAAGGACTTTATTGTGGATTGGTGTCTTCATATATCAAAGAAGGGCGATCTTGACAAGCATTTTGAGGCTATGGACCAGCTATCCTGGCTTGCAACATTTCAGGAATGGAATATCACTGGTCTCTCAATGGACTGGCACAGAGTTCAAGGAGATGGAGAGAGTACTCATCGGCCTGCTATCTGGTGCAGTAAATCCACAAGCTGCAAAATGTGCTTGAGCTGCACTTGATTTCATATCCTTTGCGCAATTCCATACCCATACCTCAGATACTCTGGATGCTCTGCAGGCAGCTCTTCAAGAGTTCCATGACAACAAGGAAATCTTCATCACCCTTGAGGCTAGGGAACACTTCAATCTCCCCAAGCTGCATGCAATGCAGCATTACATTGATTCCATCCGCTCTCGTGGTTCACCTAATGGCTTCAACACTGAACTCCCAGAGCGGTTGCATATCAACTATGCAAAGGATGCATATCGTGCCAGCAATAAATGTGACTATGTCCAGCAGATGACCAAGTGGCTTGATCGTCAGGAGTCAATTGCTCTCTTCAAATCCTCCCTGAGCTGGGCTGGGGATCACTGCTTCTTCTGGAGATGAAGATAATGAAGAGGATGATGATGATGATGATGATGATGAAGGTGATGGTGGTGAGGAGTCCATCAGCGATCCTGAAGAGGTGGAAGAAGAAGAAGGTCGCATGTGGTTGCCACGCAAACCTCCTCATCCTTCTATGTTGGTGCCTGACATCATTAGCAACCATCAAGCTCAAGATTTCCTCCCAGCCCTTTCGAACTATTTGAAGGAGACATGTCTATGGATCGTATCAGGGCAACATCAGCAGGACCCAGTCGGCTTGGCAGAAGGCAAACTCCTGCACACTTTTATACAATCCTTGTCAAAACAAAAGGAATAAATGAGCATGTCCAAGGAACAGGACTGGAACGTGAGTGTCTTACTAATGCTTGGTGCATACGAAGCTCAACAATTATCTAGGCCTTCAAGTTGCACAGGTCCACCTGATTTTCTCTCTCCCTCCATATCTCCGTACAAATGCTGAACAGCCTCAACACTTAGCCTACATTGAATGGTTTACACCATTCCGGACATATGATGAAAACCTCAAGCTCTATTGAGTTTCCCGCAGCACTCGCAACCACCCGTCCACATGCACAGCTGATTCCATTAGAGCAGATTTTCAGGAGTTGCCAAAGTTTGGGACCTCTGTGGATAAGGAGTGTGTTGAACTGGGCGCTGACTTAGCTGCCAGGTTCTACAACATACCAGAACGTACTGGAACCCTCTGGAACATTCTGGTATATTCCATTATTGTACAAGGGCACGGTGCTCATGTGGGTCGGTGACATCATAGGTGGAGCTCAGTAGGATTATAGATATTCCACGTAGCTTAGTCAGCCTATGGGCCACAGTGTATATAAACCCTGCAGCTCTGCTGCCTAATGACAAGGGTTGTTCATATGAGCTTTACCAGTAGCTACAGCATCCACTCAATACAGGTTGTGTAGGGCGCACTGCTGCCTCCATAACTCTTCATCAGAGTGGTCCTCTGACAATGTTCTGGAAAAATGTAAGACATTCTATGTCAATCCCTCCATTGATTTTGTCATGTTCTATCTGCTACGTTGTCTGGATTATGTATGTTAGCAAATACACACTATATTCTGGTCAGCTATGATAATGTATTGGGCACTATTATATACATCATATATACCATCTCTGTCTATTCAGCCTATACAGTAGCCCTACCTCCCTATATTACCTATGGAGTGTATACATTCTGCCTCAACCCAGATAGACTGGATATTCCATATAGTCTGGGTGTCAAATATGTATTTTCCGCTTTTTCCTGATGTTATCGGATGGATTTGCCACCGTACATTTTGGTTAGAGAAGGGCAAATGACGAGCGACATAGAGGAAAGTTGGGGTGTTATTCGGAGCAGGAAGGTGATAGCGTTTCATTAAAGGAGTTATGGAGAGTTCGAGGACGTGCTGAAGGATGGAGAAGATGTGGTAGTACTGTACCATTTCGATCTATTTGGCAGGCGGTGTGACGTGTGACTCATCTGACCGATTCATCATTTCGGCATTTTACTATATATGGTGCGAAGTGGCACCACAGGCCAGCTTCTACAGTCGTTTGCATATGAAACCGAAAATCGGGTTTCCGTGAGCATTGTTTGTTCGAGCCAAATATACCCATATGTAGTAATGCGAGATGGCTTCTTGTGACTGCGTGACTGTCAGATAGCATTCATCGACGTCTCGAACTTGAAGTATCGACTGGCTGGTACCATGGTTCACCTCACTCGACAACTACGTGAACGTATCATTGTCTGGCGCCATGAGCAAAACAAGACACTCCGAGTGATTTCTGAGCTTGCGGGATGCAGCATAAGCACAGTCTTCGAAGTTCTCCGACTCTACACGGAATACGGCACAGTCATCAACCCGAATGCTAGACCTCGAGGCCGGCCGCGCACTCTCGACATGCAGGATATGAACTTCGTGCGATCAGTTATTGAGGGAGAGCCTGCTATCTACCTTGATGAGCTACGAGATCGAGTCTACGAGGACCGCGGTGTCAACATGTCTTTGGCATCATTGTCTCGTGTAGTCCATCGACTCTCACTCTCTCGAAAGAGAATATCCAAGGCGGCTCTGGAGAGG